GCCTGTTGAACGAGGTGACCTTGCTCGGTCCCAGGTGTACGGTTCCTAAAATGGCTGCCATATACACGCCCACCGGGATAGGAGACGCGAAGGTATTAAACTGATCAGAACAATACTAAACACACCACAAATATGTTTCTTCCCTGTATGGCTCCTCAAATGATGCTTAAGATTAGAAGCGGCTGAAAAGCATTTTCACATCCGAACAAAAATATATTTTTTTAACATTCTCTCCACTTTGAACGAAATGACGTTTGGGAAGAGATTAACATAATTAAACACAGGCAGTAAAATACAGTTTTTAGCCATACACTGTAACTTTAAAACTACACATCCCATCTTCATAATTACATATTTGGAATCAGCACATTTAAAACATAAACATAACCAAAAATCAGCCAAATACATCCAGGGGTTAAAAAGTTAGCTGGAGGTCCCTTTATGACCGACCGCAAGCACATTTTCCTGCCCAAAACAGTTCCATAGATTTGGGCTGTGAGGTCGGCCTATTTCAGGCTGAAAAAAAGACTAAGTCCCATCGCCGAATGGGACTTAGTCTCTGCAGCTGTAAAACCAGTAGGGGAGAAGGTAGAGCTCAGCGGTGTTCGCGGAAATGTGTAGCCGATTTTAGTTCCATGAATTTGGCTACACATACCACTGACCTCGTCGAATGATCAAAGATGGCCGCCGCCACGTGTTCGGCAAACGAACAAAGACCTCCCAGCATTGTCAATTAAGCTGCGGTTAACCGCAGCTTCTGGGAGGTAAATTGCCTGCACACTTCCACTTCTGGGTGGTCTGCCTGTGTGGTACTTGGTTCAGTAAGCCCCATTTACTGCCTTAAAGGGGCAGTGTCCCAATCTTCCTGATGTCCCAAAAAAGGTGTTTAAAGGGCCAGCACCAGTCACATAAAGAGTCCATAAGCCCAATATGCCCACCGACAGTCTTAAAGGGCCATACACACCAAATAAAAGTGCATACATTTTCACAATCTCCCAGGGGCCATAGTCATGCGGGAGGAGGCTGGCAAATAGGCTTCTCCACAACCCAGGGAAGCAGGGCAATTTGCCATTTAAAGGGCCCGTTACAAATAGCAGTTTGTAACAAGGTGTCAATCCATATCTGCCAAGTGACCCTATGTAGGGGGAACAGTCCCTATTCTACTCTGTGTCAGTGTGTATCATGGTCTCTGAGGACAGGTGTCAATCCATATCTGCCAAGTGACCCTATGTAGGGGGAACAGTCTCTATTCTGCTCTGTGTCAGTGTGTATCAGGGATCCTGAGGACAGGTGTCAATCCATATCTGCCAAGTGACCCTATGTAGGGGGAACAGTCTCTATTCTGCTCTGTGTCAGTGTGTATCATGGTCCTGAGGACAGGTGTCAATCCATATCTGCCAAGTGACCCTATGTAGGGGGAACAGTCCCTATTCTGCTCTGTGTCAGTGTGTATCAGGGATCCTTAGGACAGGTGTCAATCCATATCTGCCAAGTGACCCTATGTAGGGGGACCAGTCCCTATTCTGCTCTGTGTCCGTGTGCATCAGGGGCTCTGAGGACAGGTGTCAATCCATATGTCAAGGTGTCAATATGTCATATGTCAGGTGTCAATCCATATTCATTGTGATTTAGGAATGTTAGGTGATTTCTGCCCTTTATGGATTAAAACCAGACTCTGTATCAACTGTGTAATTTTCCATGGGAGTTTTGCCATGGATCCCCCTCCGGCATGCCACAATCCAGGTGTTAGTCCCCTTGAAACAACTTTTCCATCCCTATTGTGGCCAGAAAGAGTCCCTGTGTGTTTTAAAATTCGCCTGCCCATTGAAGTCTATGGCGGTTCGCCGGTTCGCGAACATTTGCGGAAGTTTGCGTTCGACGTTCGCGAACCGAAAATTTCGGGTTCGCGACATCACTAGTGATAAGTAATTGAATAATTTAACATGATCAGTACAGAGTTAATAATATTTCCCTCCTGCTGTGTCCCCTCAAGATATGCCACCTGGGCCCAAAACTCCCTTTCCAAACAGAGTACCTCCAGATACCAGACGTCTCAGTAAAAAGTACCCAGCCCAAGCGACAATACTTAAAAGTTCCACTGGGTCATGGCCATCCCCTCATCAGGCACAGATTTTCATATGGTTGTCTTGTTTTGATGGGTTCTTCTAGTCTTAAGGAAGGTATATACTCCAATCAAAGAGCAATGTTATTAGTGGGCGGGGTATACCCTATGAAAGATTCACTGGACACAGTTCAGGACCAGTGAATAGCACCATAAAGTTTCAAGGTATCTCCCAATGAGGCGTTTGGTGGGTAAGTAGGTCTTGGTGATCCCCAGATTTCACCCAGCCACAGTTGAGGGGTAGAATTAACTCCCCTCCCCTACCTGCCCCCCCAAGGTCTCCTTATACCTCTACCTTTTTGGTTCATTTACAGTGTCTATTGTACAGGGTCCATAGTCTGTAAACAGACTATGGACTTACAAGCATCCCCACTAGACCAGGACACAATGTACAACCAGAATTTTGGAATGACAGGTTTTCAGAGATCCTCCATTTCTCAAGTGAAAAATGTGAGAGTCTCAAAAGTTTGCCATTCCAAAATTCACAAAAATTATTCAAAGTTTCCACTAAGGGAAAAGCTAGTATTGAAAATTCCCTTTGAATGGAGGGTTAATCCCACAGTAGTGCTGGTGATACCTAAACTGACATTCCACAGTAGTTTTTATTTTTAATATTCAGTGGTTGATATTAGCGATCTAAATTCTAAAATTCTTCCAAAATCCTTTTAGTCCAGCATGAATGATATTACAAGATATTAATTTAATTTGTTATTTTACATATGCATCACTGGAATAATATAACTACAATCTTCACTACAACACTTTCATGTGTATAACTAAAAATAAAAATAAAAAATCTCAAAAAAATCCAACCTTATAATGCAAGTACTATGTGCACAAATAATATATACAATTTAATTTCAGAGAATGGCAACTCGCACATATCTGCACTGAAAACAGATAGGACATGCATTTATTAGTACTGCTGTTTCACTTTCCTTCCCATTATTATGTCCCTCTATTGCTGATAGAGTGAGTAAAATAAAAATTGGATTTATTGTCGTTTGGAAAAAAAATCTGATTAAATCCTATTATAAGTAGTGTGAATCACCCTCATTGCTGACTCCACTGGTACTTCCCAATGTATCCTTTTCGGGCAGTAAATATGCTGCACTAAAAGACAGACCTGTCTACTGGGCAGTCACAGCCTGCTTGCACCAGGCAGTGGAATTGGAATACTCCACTTCCCCTGATATAGCCTCCATTCTTACTCCATGCCTGCTGCGTTGTTTAAGCCTGATGCCTCTGCTGCTCCATACTTTAAATACATTCATTACTTTCTCCCATGCCATCTCTGATAAGCCTGGCCTGGCTCAGTTGCTTGGAATACATCCCTACACTTTCTCCACTGCAGTCTCTGATAATCACTCACTCCCTTTGTCCTTCCTTCCTTCCTTCCTTCCTTCCTTTCTTCCCTCCCTCCCTCCCTCCCTCCCTCCCTCCCTCTGGGGCCTGATGGTATTCACCCACAAGTACTTAAGGTGCTAAGTGGGGAAATAAGTGAACCTCTGTATTTACTCTTTCAATATTCTTTTGTTTCAGATATTTACCGGAGGATTGGAGCAAGGCAGATGTTGTTCCTATATTTAAAAAGGGTTTGAAATCCTTGCCTGGAAATTATAGACCTGTGAGCTTAACTTCTGTGATTGGGAAAATATTTGAAGGGCTCTTAAGGGATAACATTCAGGAATTCATTGGAAAGAACTTTGATATTAGCAATAATCAGCATGGTTTTATGAAACATAGGTCATGCCAAACTAACCTGATTGCATTCTATGAAGAAGTAAGTAAAATTATAGATCAGGATGTTGCAGTGGATGTGATCTACTTAGATTTTTCCCAGGCATTTAATACGGTTCCTCACAATAGGTTAGTCTTCAAACTAAAAGAAATTGGTCTAGATGAATATTTTTGTTCTTGGGTAGAACATTGGCTTAACGAGTTGTCATTAATGGTAAATTTTCAAGCTGGACAAAAGTGGTAAGTGTTGTCCCTCAGGGTTCAGTTTTGGGACTGCTTCTATTTACATATTTATAAATGATCTTGCAATAGGCATTGGAAGCCATGTTTTAGTGTTTGCAGATGACACAAAACCCTGTAAAGTAATATAAAATGTGAGCAGGATATTGTTTTGCTGAAGAGGGATTTAGATAGATTGGGGGACCGGGTACTAAAATAGCAGATCAAATTTAATGAGGCGAAATGCAAAGTTATGCACTTCGGGTCAAGAATGCACAAGCAATTTATAGCCTAAATGGTAGTGAATTATGGATAACCACAAACGAGAAGGATTTGGGAATTATTATAGACAACAAATTAGGTAGCAATCTGCAATGTCAATCTGCAGTTGTTAATGCCAGTAAGGTTTTGTCATGTATATATCAGGGCATAAATTCT